TTCTCTTCTAAGTACTTTTTAAGTAAGTTAATCTTCAATTGCAAATTTATTTTCGATTCTCCTAAGATCACTATGTCGTCTGCATACAGTAAAAGGTGTATAGTTCCATAATTCTCAAGATTTATGCCTGGCAATTCTGATTCATCGAACAGGGGTACCAGATCGTTTAGGAAGAGAATGAATAAATAAGGTGACAACGGCTCCCCCTGCAATACTCCCGCTTGTATTTTGATAGCCTCCCTGAAGGAACCCCGCCATCTGACTGTTGCCGTCATTTGGGTATAATAGTTCTTAATTAGTTTAATAAATCGACAGCTCAGACCATTTAATGCTAATTTTTTCCAAAGTAGATGGTGCGGCACAGTATCAAAGGCCTTCCTTAGGTCAATGAAGAAGGCATATAACTTTCCCCTTCTACGGCTAAGGGTCATTTGAATTAATGATACGAGCGTGAAAATGTGGTCCTGACAAGAGTAGCCTTTTCTAAAACCAGCCTGATTTTCTGCCAAAATTGAATTTCTCTCCATCCAATCATTCAATCTTGTCTTCAAGATAGATGTAAATAATTTCGATAGGTTAGAAGTCAGGGATATTCCTCTGTAATTTGACGGGTTGTCCGGATCTCCATTTTTAAATATTGGGTGGATTATTGTCTTTGTCCATTGTTTTGGAACTTGGGATGTCCCTAAGATTTTATTAAATAAGTTCCTGAGATAAATATTGTATGTTCTTCTAATAAATATTTAATCGCTTCGTTAGGAATTTCATCAAGTCCTGTAGCCTTATTTTTACCCAATTTGGAAATTTCCGTGGTGACCTCAGTTAGAGATATTTCACAATCTAATTCGGGGTCAATGTCCAATATCTCAAGTGGTAGCTGTACAACTTTTGTTAGATTTGAACAAAGTAACTCCCGATAGAAGACCTGCCAGTCTGCAGTATAAATTTCACCTTGTAGGTTATTCCTATATTTAAGTGAATTAATAGTCTTCCAAAATTGGGAAGGATCTTTTACATTACTGAGGATAACTTGAATTTTGTCAGTATATTCCCTTTTTTTGAGATTTAGGATAGCTGAATATTTCTTCTTACTCGACAAGTATGCAGATATTCACTAAATAATATCCTCTACTTACACTCATGGAGGTAAACTCAAGGAAGTTGTACCTTCCTGCATTTGAGTTTTTAGTAATACCTAATTTAAAATTTGTTAAAATAAAATAATATATTTTTATTATAATGAATAAACACACTTAACATAGTTGTTTAGAAACATGAAATAGTGATATAAAAATACCTAGAAACCTTATTGATACATACTGAATCCTGTGTTATCTGTTTTCCAGTGCTCACATTTCTCCCTTTAATTTATCTGCCACCGATAAATCTCACAATTTGTATAAATTGAATGGTTCAAAACAGCATCTTTATTAGCCTTTGTACAATTCCGTAATTAAACACATGGTTCAGCTCTGAAATGACTCGAATTATCATAGTTATCGTGGACATATCTATTTTAAACGTTACAATATTTCAGGATAAAAGCTAACAAGGCAATTCGTGTCTTTATTCGCCGTCCTTGTCATAACTATTTTTCTTTCTTTTTTTTTTTTTTTTAGGGGTAGAGAGTATCTTCTAGGAAATTGGAGGAGGTCTTGTGCCATTACACCTGGTCAGGTCCTGGGGAGCTTTGGTAACACTTCACTTCATTTTTCCAAGCGTGGGAAGTGATTATTTTGTAGATTGTTCACAATCCGAATATGATTATGATAATCATCAGGGCAATTAGAAAAGGTAAGGAAAACTCTTCCCAATGTTGGTTGTCCATATTTGTCTTTCTTTGAATACTTTCTTCGCTTATTTAGAACGCTTTGGGCTTTTACTCGTAATAATAACTTTGTTGAAAAAGAAACAATCAAGGGTAGTTTCCAATAATCGAAAATTATCTTGCAAACCATCTTCAATTTTTCTAAAAGCTTTTAGTTATGAAGAAACCCACTTTTTCAAACTAGAATTCTCTCTGTGAAGTCTTCCAAAACCAATTGAAGAAAGATCTGTAAAATGTTCTTAAACACCTTGATTTTTTCTCCAAATAAAAATGTTTGGATAATCATCGCCTATAAAATTTACTTATTTCTCAGGATATTTTGATAGAAAAGTTATTTTGTGACATAATGATGCGTTTCTTTTTGGCAAAAAGATATCCAAAGCTAGCTTTTTATAAAAAGAATTTTGTGTTTGTTTTCAAGAAATTGTGTTTGTTTTTAAGAATTTAAAAAAGACATATCCTGACAAAGTTCACATGAAATTTTTAGATGGCAGAGTGCCATCTAGTGGAACAGAAATCAACTAAACGTTTAATTATCCTATTTCCCGATATTTGGCCAACCCATTTTTTTGATAAATCAAGAAAATTCAACCACGAACGCGTTTCGGGCTTTTTTGATTCTAATACCAACACCTGACCTTTTTTATTATATATTTTTTTTTTTCAATTATTTTTTCACATTATAGATATATTTTGAAAATAGAGCAGTCTATATTTAAATCATTATATATAATGAAAAGGCATATATTGGATTGAATAAGAGATTTATTTGCCAATATTTCGGTTGGCTGAACGCCAACCTTTATCGAGGCATTACATTTTTGTATGTACAAACTCAGCGCCGCATAATGTTATAATATCACAGTTGAAATAATTTTAAAAATACAAAGCAATTCTCAATAAACAACCCCAAAACACATTATTGACTGTTAAAACTTCACACAAATATATTTACTGGCAATGCGTTTCTTTTAAATATCATCAAATATTATCTCTACAGACCTTACTGCAATGATATGAGTTATTGAATGAGAGGGCTTGGCTCATCAGTAGTGAACCCTCTCAGCGGTTTCGCCAAATTAATCTCTAGACCGCTCTACTATTGTAATTGTAATTTGGCGAAACCGCTGAGAGGGTTCACTACTGATGAGCCAAGCCCTCTCATTCAATAACTCATCATTGCAGTAAGGTCTGTAGAGATAATATTTGATGATATTTAAAAGAAACGCATTGCCAGTAAATATATTTGTGTGAAGTTTTAACGATAGATGGCAATAAAATTTAATTTACTAATATATATTGGTTATCAAAACATATTTTGCGGAAGAGCTTTGCTCGATGCAATACCTTGAAATTATATGTATGTACCTCTACAGACCTATAAGCTTATGTCCATAGTTCCTTAAACACCCCTAAGCTGCCTTCCATAGAAAATGCAGGGTATATAACAAAACCAGTCCAATACAATAGTAGAGCGGTCTAGAGATTAATTTGGCGAAACCGCTGAGAGGGTTCACTACTGATGAGCCAAGCCCTCTCATTCAATAACTCATATCATTGCAGTAAGGTCTGTAGAGATAATATTTGATGATATTTAAAAGAAACGCATTGCCAGTAAATATATTTGTGTGAAGTTTTAACGATAGATGGCAATAAAATTTAATTTACTAATATTATTGACTGTATTGACTCATCCATTGATGTGCTCTACTCGTCCCCGACAGACACCATCAAAAGTCTAAAGCTTTACAAGCTTGACACACTTAATATGATTGAGTGAAGATAAGAAGAAGAAGAATTTGCCCGTTGAAGAACGAGAGCTCGAAAGCGCACGCTGTTTTTTATTAAAGAAACTTATTGTGCAAGGTGAAAAATAGCACAAATGTGATATTGTACTGGGATAAATGTATAAATTATGAAAAAGGTATCTCCTTATCGTGCAACTGAAAGCTGCTGAAGGTTTGCGCCATCTATCGGAATAAATATTAATTATTCTCGTTGATTTTTAATTATTCCTGAATTGGTCAAATACCCATTCTTGATTAATCAAGAAAAAGCTAAACACGGATGCGTTTCGGGCTGTTGGCCCTCATGACCAGAATGACCAGTTTTTTGGTTGTTGAGGTACAGCTTGAACCACGCTGATGAGGGCCAACAGCCCAAAACGCGTCCGTGGTTAGCTTTTCTTGATTAATCAAGAATGGGTATTTGGCCAATTCAGGAAAAATTAAAAATCAACAGGAATAGTTGATATTTATTCCGATAGATAGCGCAAGCCATCAGTGACTTTCAGTTGCACAATAAGGAGATGCCCTTTTCATAAATTATTGTGCAGGGTTTTGATATTTTATAATAGTTTTATAGTTAAAATATTATTTTATAATATTTGATGTCTACAATGTAGCCTTGACTGTGCTTATTCCATAGAGGTTTGTTGAAGTATGGATTAGCTGGAGTCATCTGCTAAGAATATCAGAAATATAGAGTGAACACAGAGTAATCAGGGCTAGGAATAACGAACATCAACCTTAAGAAATATTGGCAAAACAAACAACACACCTCAATATTCTAATACAAAGAAACTCAGTAACCAACAGTGAGGCAGAACAAAGAAATGACGATAAATAGCTCATAAACACAAGGCAATGAGCTTGTGGGGGCCGAGATACTTCCTTCCTGCCTGCTAGGATGACAGACCACGGCAAACATACAAGCGAGGACATGAAATAGGAGATGACCACCGCGGCGCAGCAGATCGGCAGAAGTCAATGAGAACCCAATAGACATTCTAGGGTGTTGTCCTTTTGTCTTCCTATAAAAATGTAGCTAATAAGTAATTCCAATAAAACGCTAACTTTGAAATACTTTCTGGGACATCGCTGGACCAATTAGTTGACACACCACAAGACCAAATCCAAATAAATAGTGTGCAACATTTCGGTAACAGCATTGTAAACAACTTCTGACAAAAGTGCTGAATGATAAGCCACAATTTGGATTTGGTCTTATTACCTTGTGTTTATAATCTACTAGCCGAATGACCTGGGCAACGCCCGGGGTTTTACCCGATTAAATGCTTTTATTCAAATACTATTTGTTACAATTATAAATTGGCACCGTGGATGTCATTCTTGTATAATATATAAATGAGTTTTAAAAATTGTTTAAAAAATGCATCGGCCGGGAATCGAACCCGGGCCGCCCGTGTGGCAGGCGAGCATTCTACCACTGAACCACCAATGGTTATGAGAAATGGCCATATTTGGGTTATTTATTCCATTCACAAAAGCAAACGGTGACAGAATTGATTAAGAAAGAATTGATTATGACGCTGATAACTGTATATTTTAATAATCCAAATTGTACCTTATCATAACGATAAATAGCTGAAATCTACATGGACAAAAAAATATTGGAAACCAACAAAGATTAAGCATCGGGAATTAAGAGCTAGGGATATCTGAAATATAGCGGAAGCAAAATTGGGTGTGTGTTAACAACTAGGAATTTTCTCAATAAATGTGGAATATTGGGAATCAACAGCGAAAAAACAATTTGTAGATCTACAGTGAGGAATATACAAGACCTACTTGTAGGTCATTAACATCAAGGAATATAGGTAATGAACTTCAAAGAACAGCAGATAACAAATGTGTGAATCACAATAACATGTGTGACTGAAATTTTGTGCAAGAAAAATTGGGAGAAACCAGGGTAAATTTTCCCAATAGAGAAATATTGGGAATCAACAGCGGAAAAACAATGTGTAGATCTACAGCATAGGTACTTCCTCGGCGCGGAACTGAGGAGTGTACAAGAAGAACTTGTCTGGAGGAGGACTCTCTCAAGGTGGGGAAGCCTTCCTTGCTGAAGATATTTGTACACAACTATATATATATTCCCCTACACTTTATATGCCCTTTTACTCTTTTATTTTTTCTCCTTTGTAAAATTTGATTAAAAGAATCAATAAAATTGTTTAAATTGTCAATTGTTTACAGCAAAGAAAATCGGGAATTAGCAGTGAAGAATATAGGTCATCAACATTGAAGAATATAAGCAATGAAGTGCGAAGAATTGCGGATAACAAATGTGTGAATAACATGACAATAACATGATAAGGTAGAATTAAGGGCATTCAGTACTTTTGTCTGAAGATGGTAACAAAGCTGTTACCGAAACATCACACACTATTTATTTATTTGGATTTGGTTTTATTACCTTGTGTTTATAACAATAACATGTGTGAATAACACACACCCCCAACATAACAATACAATATGATACACTAGCGCGCCATCTGTTATCAAAATTCGAAACTATTTTAAAGGCGTAAGATTCTTTTTGATATTAAACAATTTCTACTGCCCTTACTGCAATGGAAAAATTAATGAGAGGGCCTGGCTCATCAGTGGTGAACCCTCTCAGCGGTTTCGCCAGTTTAATCTGGTGTGTACGTGTTGGGTAACAAGAAAAAAGGTAGAGAAAAGAATCTTACGCCTTTAAAATAGTTTCGAATTTTGATAACAATACAATGTGAATAACATAATCAAAAGGGACGAGCTGTGGTACTCAACAAAGATAAGAAAAAGTAACCAGGAGCAAAAAAAAAACAACTAGAATCGACAGAAATAAATGACAGGAATCAACACAAAGGAATATCTGTAATCTGAAGCGATGAACAGTAGGAACCAACAGTGTGGAACAAGGAGAAAATGAGAGCATCAAAAGAAAAAAATAGAAAAATCAAAAGTGTTTGACAGCAGTAAACAACTGTAGTACCAATGCAGATGGCATTATTTTCTTCATCAGGAACAAATATACTTGGTTTGAGCTTCGTACACTTGATCTTTGAAGAGCACTGCATGGCATCTTGCGTGGCTGTCAACTTCGACAAGAACTGCGGCTTATAGTGTGGTCTCTGTAAACACCAGGCGGATACTCCTAGGGAATCTCCTGGGCGTCTGATTCGCTGACTGTCCTGGGAAGTGTGATTACTGCCAGGAACGCCGTTGTCTCCCATCTCATTTAGTGCTGGAGCAAACCATCAGTAGGTGGTCTTCCCTCATGTCTTGGATCCGCATGGCCATCAACTGAGAATGCTGAACCTCTCGGAGGTTGCATACAGTAACCTAAATCTGAAAGACTACCAAGTTATTTTCTTGTCATTCTGTGGAATCTGCATCTCCGAAGAGATGCCAGGTTCCTGTGGCCGCCAGAACTTCTGGCTCCCTGCTGGATACAAGTGACCTTCAGAGACTTCTTTGATTGTGCCCATGGCCAAACCTGCTCAACATGCAGCACTCCTGGATGCGTGGCACCTGGGGACATTTTGCCAGTTTCTACAGAATAGCTGGAGCTGCTGAGCCGTTCAACTCCTGCTCCGGGAGGTAGGTATTAGCCTCCTGCAAATATCCACTGGATCATCAGGACAAGTCTTTCGGCAATGGCCTCTATTCCAAGGCATTGAAAACCACAAGTGTGGCA